AACCATGCTGTGTTCCATTATGATTTTTTGTTAAGCACAAACCTAAGTAGTTCATTTGGTCTCAAAATACCCATCACATAGTAGGTGTTTTCATCTTTGCATTTTGACAGTCTTTCTGACCACCTTGCTCTGAAGGCAGCCATCTAGCAGTGTGGCACTCAATACCATAGTAACCAAATAGAGTAGATACAATGTTGCTACGTGCGTTCCCATTTGTGATTAGTGCTACATACACTTAGCCTTCATCAGAACTACTTAATTGCCAGGAGTGGCAGCTACTACAGAAACCCCAAGCTAGCCAGACTGCAAAGAAGAGATGATGGTGACATTTTTAGCTCCAAACATGACCGTGCATTGCCTCCAAGGCTCACGGAACATTGTAAAAGAGGGGTCGCAAAGAATGTGAGCACCAGAGGATGGGGAGATGTGTAGGCCATTTCCCTGTCCAAATTGCCAGCTCCCAAATAACCGACACAGAGTCTTTTACTAGCTGACTCTTCCATTTGCATTAACCCATGTTTCTTATCTGTGCTTTGCCACGTGGCCTGGCACCTCCTTTCAGTATGGAAGGCCCGTCTTGCTTCTCCCTGTGTCTGCTGGTGATGCCTCTCTCCGCCCTTCTTTCCATAATTCTCAGTTTGACTTTCCTACCTAGCTTTATACTGTTCCGCTTATTGGCCAGTCAAGCCAGCTTCTTTATAGACACAATCACAGTGACAAATCTTCACAGTGTACGGAAGGGTGATCCCACAGCAAACGTGGCTGTTGTACTCCTGAGCAGTTGTCGGTATCTTCACAGGACCTGCATAGGATTGGGATCTAACATTTTGTCCCAGACGGGAAGGCACCGTCAGACCCTGCGTCTCCCTGAGGAGCTATTGCCAATCAATAGTGGTTGAAGGAGGGTATAATTTCCTTTAGTGACATAGCCACTCAGAAGTTGCCCATGGTCTAGGAAGTAGCCTCCCACCCTGACTAAACTTGGTGGATCACTCACAGAAGACACAGAGGCAGGAGGGTGAAGTTGTTGAGAGGAAGAAGGGTTTTGAAGGAAAAGGAGAGGCGTGAGAGGGAAATTGGAGGCTGTGAAATGAGTAGAATTTATTATACACATGTATGACCCTGTGAAGGAATAAAAGGGGCGGGGAGAACCCAGTGCTAAGGACAGTTTTAGCTGCGGGAATACGAGCGCCCGCCTAGCCATTTGTGGTTGATGCCTTCATTTAGCTAACCCGCTCTCCCCTGTGCACCCCTTCCAAAGTCTTCATTCAGGCCTTGGTGGGGGCTCTTTTTGAGGAGCACGGGTCGGGTCACATTGAGAGGGTGTGAGGAAGCAGGCCGGCTGGATTGTCGCCGTAGCGTCTGCAGTGGGCTGAGTACAGGACATAGCAGGACAGCAGGGACAGCTTGCCAGGGGTCTGGTGTCTGCGTTCGCTTATCTTGCGTGTGACATCAAGGCTCTGCTCCTTGGTGTGTCTGTGGCACTGAGGATGTGGTGGTTACAGGAGTGCTGCTGGGTACCGTACGTGCTGTCCAACCTTCCCTTTGGTGGCAGGCTTTGGAGAGCTGGGTGGAGGCCAACAAGCACATCCCGAATAACCAGTAGGTCTTACCTTGTTTGCTGAGGGGAATTCAGCTGCAGGTGGTTGGGAAGCAGCTTAGTTGAATAACTACATCAATCCCTGCAGTTCTAGCCTCCTCCTGGCTCTGGGCTAACAGAAGGTGGGGTTGGGTGAGCTGTAGGGCCTGTAGGATGGGGAGGAAATGGAAATTGACATTGTGATGGGGGATGTCCTTCTGTATATGTTTGTCTTTCTGGTTGATGGCGGCAAGAGATGGGAAGGAGGAGACGAGAATGAGGGGAGGTAACAGGCAGAGCGCAGTCGCCATGTGATCCCAGCAAGAGAGGATGTGAATAGGCGTTCTCCAGTAAGATAAGACCATGTGGACATACATAGATTAACAGTGACAGGTTAATATTTACGACAGAGTTAGACAGTAGGAAGACCAAGCCATTGGCCTACAGTTTCATTAATATAGTGTCTGTGTATTTATTTGGGGCTTCATGGTGGCTGGACCCTAGCCCAGACAAAGCACCTATTGTAACAACATTGCTGAATATCTTGAGTGTGGTAAGGAAAGCAAGAGACACTTGCCTTGGGAAATAGGTAATGCAGTTCTCCCAAAGGAATTAATTTTGTTAACCTTGGCTCACCAATAGATAAAGATAAATGGTAGGTAGCATTTGGAATATGTAGATCATTCTCCCAGGCTTACACGTGTTTAAGAGTATTGCAGTGGAGAGGACATTGTTTTTGTTTATAATCTGACTATCTTGTTGTTGCATTCTGTTAAAGTTTTTACATTATTTTGTGCCATTTAACTGCTCTGGTGATTGATGTAATTATCTTTAAGTATTAGGCTGGTGAGATGGATCATGAGGTAAAGGCAGTTGGCACCAAGCTTGACAGCCTAAGTTTGAACCTGGGGACCTAGGTAGAGAAAGGATGGAACCAGTTCCTTCATGTGTTGTCCTCTGAATAAATGTAACAATGTTACACATAAACATCCTAACAGTTAACTTATAGAAAGTACAGTGTAAGTGGTAAAGCTTTGTGTGAGTGAGGTATAGGCTGAGCTGGTAGAGGAGAGACCCACAATGCAGTAGGGGCATAGGTTCACATGTGCTGCCGCCATGCTACGGGTTGGTAGTTCAAGGGTGGTAGAACGGCTCTGTGTTTCCTGGTGTATTGCTTCTGTCTGCATGTAAGCATTTTCTCAGTTGCTTGTCTCGTGTGTGCTTGTGTCTCGTTTGGTGAGGACTTCGGTACATGGTCATATCTAGTGTGGCAGTCACAGGACTAGTCATAGACATTTGAGTTCTCTTCCTTTGGGCACTGGTCCTGACGAAGGACCCTTATAAAAAGCCATAAAGAGGAGAGAGTTCCAGGGAGTCACAGCAGCAGGGGATGAAGAGGCAGATGCGTCCATGCTGCCTGCTCTTTACTTGCTTGCATTTAGCTAACTTTATTCTCAGAGAGCTCAGGGCCCAGCCCATGAAATGGTACCACCCATGATGGGTTAGGTCCTACACCAATTGACAGTCCCCACATGCCACAGGCCAGCGAGATCTAGATAATTCCCCATTACAACTCTTCCTGGGCAGTTATAGGTTGTGGTAAGTTGACCTTTAAAATTAACCATCACCGGCACATTCTGATTATTTTCTTTAAAGCCCACTCGTGGGTGTGTGAGTTGCATGAGGAGCAGTGAAACAAAGTGAAAGGCTTTTCTGATTCCTAGAAGGTAGACCAGGGGTTTAAATAGGCGCCATGCATAAAGAGACGGAGAGAACAGGTACAAACATTCTTTTGGTTTGCAGCCAACACATGGGGACAGCTGGCAGCAGATCCTAGCTGATGTGTGTGCTGGTGGCTGTGAGCTAGTGAAGAGGAAGAGACAGGTGGCGTAGTTATCGTTGTCGTTGTTGTCATCGTCACCCCCCCCCCCCCATTCTCCTTGTCCTTTCTTTCTTCATGTTTCAGATGCAGTCATTTGTGTAGCCCTGGCAGGTAGTGTCTTAGGGGCTCTGCTACTGTGATAAGACATTGTGACAAAGGCAACTTACAGCAGAAAGGGTGCCATGCGGTCAGTGATGGCAGAGTGGAGGTAGCAGGTTCAGGCAGCCAGAACAGCAGCCGAGAGCTCACATCTTGAACCGCAACCAGGAGGCTGACCATACACGGGGAATGGTTAGAGTCTTTTGAAACCTCAAAGCCCGCACACAGTGACACACCTCCTCCATCAGGGTCACAGTTCCTAATCCTCCCCAAGAGCTCCACCTGTGGGGACCCAGTGTTCACACATTTGAGCCTGTGGGGGCCGTTCGTGTGCACAGGTGGAAAGTCAGATGAGACACAAGCCAACACACCATTGTATTATTATTGCGTGGGTGGTGTGCGCAGGTGCACACACTCTGTGGTGTGTGAGAAGGTCAGGGAGCCCAGGCCTCAGAGTGACTTCCTGTGCTGGTTCTCGCGTCCTGCTCCGCCCGCCTGCTGCATCTTTGCAGGCTGTTGTGGCCACTCTGACTCCAGCAGGGCGTGTTCTCCTCTCCTTGGCGCTTTGGTGGCATGTGTCCTTTCCGCCACAGTCTAGTGCCTCAGTGTCTGCTTCTGCCTGTTGCCTTTCACAGGGAATCTTCAGCGCTGTGGTCACAGAGATGGCTTACTCAGCGCTGTGGTCACAGAGATGGTTTACTCAGCGCTGTGGTCACAGAGATGGCTTACTCAGCGCTGTGGTCACAGAGATGGCTTACTCAGCGCTGTGGTCACAGAGATGGTTTACTCAGCGCTGTGGTCACAGAGATGGCTTACTCAGCGCTGTGGTCACAGAGATGGCTTACTCAGCGCTGTGGTCACAGAGACGGTTTACTCAGCGCTGTGGTCACAGAGATGGTTCACAGTTGCACCCCTCCTCTGATGCCATTAATCCTCTACCCCGTTTTCCCTTCGCATCACTTTCCACTACCTGAAAAACTGTAATTCATGTGTATACTTACTTGACTTAGTTTTTTGAGATGATGTCTTACTCTGTACCCAGTGTGGCCTGGAACTTGGAGGAACCATTTTGCCCCAGCCTTCCAAGTACTGGATTTATAGGCATGTGCCACTGCACCTGGCTTGGGGGTTGATTCTATTCTGTTGGCCAGAGTAGAACCAGATGATGTGTTCAAGTGAAGTAAGGACTGAGAGTATGGAGGGATGGTCAGATAAGTGTGTGTGCTTGCATAGTCAGTGAGAGCACAGGGAGAGGGTCCGACAGCTTCAGGGAGCCGCTGGCGGAGTGCACAATTGTTGGTTGTGATGTTCTGAAATAGAATGTGTTTTCCGGTCAGGATTTAGCAGTGATATGAAGGCAGTGAAGGGCTGTGACATGAAATTTTTAGTGTGTAAACAGTGATGTCTCTGTAAGCAACATTATCTTTGCAGTTGATACAGAACCCACACTGATGGAAATAATGTTCTCTTTAGCCTTACCAATAGTTCTCGGGTTGTGGGGCTCCTGGCTCAGCTGGAGAAGATCAACACGGATTCCACAGAGCCGGATACTGCCAGACATGTTACATCCAAAATCCTTCATCTGGCTCAGAGTCAAGGTAAACTGGGCCCCTTCTTGGTCTGGGAGACTTTCTCAAGTCTTTAAAAGTAGATACTAAGAATGTTCTGATTTTTGATAAGAAAAACATTCCAATTTCTGGTAACTGGATGGTTTTCTGTAAAAATATGGGCCTTCCTTAGGTCGACTTACAGAAGTAGGAAACAGAATGACTTTGGAGGAAATTGATTTTCAGTGCAGCTGTTTAGATTCATTCCCCAATCAGATGGTGAGGAACAGATTATGGAGGAAATACATATTTTGCTCTCCTTCAGAGGCCACAGTTCACAGTCAGCTGACACTGCTGCCTCTGTCCCTTCAGGAGGCCACAGCCATGGTGGGAAGAGTGTTGGGGAGCCTGGGTGCTCACTCTCGACAGCCAGGAAGCAAAGGTGTTCTGCATGCATGGACATACCCCTCATTATTTTATTCTGTCCAAAATTCCAGTGTGTTAGGTAGCGCTGCCTGCACTCTCCACTTAGTTAAACGCCTCCCAGGTATCCCAGTCCAGAGTAGCCATCACTAAGCCCTGAAACATACTTTGTGCCTAGTTTCCAAAGGAGATCCTAACTTTACATCATTAGGCCTTGTAAAACCACACCCACAACAGCTTCCTTTCCAGATCTGCAGTTCCAGTATTGCTCTTGACTCAGACTCTCGGGTGTGAGCCACAGTAAGACCCTCAGAGGTGTGGGCCACAGTAAGACCCTCAGAGGTGTGGGCCACAGTAAGACCCTCAGAGGTGTGGGCCACAGTAAGACCCTCAGAGGTGTGGGCCACAGTAAGACCCTCAGAGGTGTGGGCCACAGTAAGACCCTCAGAGGTGTGGGCCACAGTAAGACCCTCAGGAGTCTTCTTGCATCTAATGCACAGTGATGGACAGTGTTCCTTCCCGTCCTGGTAAATTGCTAACTTCTGTTGCTCCATGCCTGCACATGTGCTGGCATGATGTGAGTTATCAAGGGCTGGGTTCATCTTGTTTCTGGAGTGTTCCAGCTGTAGCTCATCTGGTTTCTTCCCTGCGGGGCTCTGCTTTCTGCTCCCAGATTTCATCAGGGGATTCCATCTCCACACATCTCTGTGGTCTGAGAACCCTTACTAAGAAGGCTGATAATGGCCACACAGGAATGGGTTTTGTCTTAAGGAGGACAAGAAACTTTTTCTCAATCTTTTTGTCTTTTTGGTTTTTTGAGACAGGGTTTCTCTGTGTAACCACCGTGGCTGTCCTGAAACTCATTCTGTAGACCAGGCTGGCTTCGCTCTCACACAAATCCATCTCCCTCTTCTTCCCAAGTGCTGGGATTAAAGGCGTATGGCACTACTGCCTGGCAAACATATGGTGGTTAAATGAATTTTCCATATGAATGTCAAAGTCTCCCAAGATCATAGGAAAACCTGGGGCGGAGTGGAAAACTTAGTTTAGAGTGTCTAGAGTGTCTAGAGTCACAGGTGATGGCACAGGCTGAGGACTCAGAGGCGGCATTGCACTGTGCTCACAGGCACTGTTTGAAGCTGATGCTGCAGGGTCTTAGTAGTGGCGTGAGGACATCTGTGATGTCAGTATCGAAAAGGACTGGGTTCTACTGAGGCCCCAGCCTTACTTTCCCTACCACACATGGCTCTTTGAAACAGTATTTTGTTTTCTTGTAAGATCTAATATTTTTTTTTTTTTTTTTTTTTTGGTGGGGACAGCTGGGCTGAGTAAAAGATAAAAGATAGTTTGGATTGCCAAAGAAATGTATACTTAAAAAAAGAGAATTTGAGTTTATGAACACCTATGCTTGTAGGTAAGTTTGCCATGCTGCTAGCATTAGCAGAGTGTAGCAGTGAGCAGACGTGAAGGGTGTTTTATGCCTCCTGCCATTTACGGAGATGTCTAGTTTGAATGTACAAAGCGTCTTCAAGTTGTGACAGTCACATGGACTAGACATGAGACGATGGAGGTCACTGTTAAAGACAGTTGCACAGCTGTCCAGTGTGCGTGGTAACTGTCACAAATGGCATACATTTGTCCCTCTAATAATTCCCATGTGAGAGCATCTCCCCTGAGAAAACATGGGCCACACTGGGAAGCAGAACTCAAGTCTAATAGAAAACACTCAGGGTAGATCTTAAATTAAGGTTTAAAAAGTCAACACAAAGAAGGCAGCAGAGGGCGAGATGAATGTAAGCGACGGAAACACTCATGGGAAGGTGCGGTGTTAGGGTTTCTTACCCCTTCAGTTGATACTCTCCTCTCACACATCTCTGCTCCTAATCGATTATCTCCATATGAAACGGAACCTAGGCCTCCTGTCTTTGATACTTTATTGTAAAGGACATACTACATTGAGGGTGGATCGCTTGTCTTTCGTTTTTTAGATCTCAGAATGTTGAGATTAATGGCATGGTCCCGAATTAATAGCGTTCTGACATTAATACCCAAGTCTGGAAGAGCAGAGAAGGGCTCCAAACCTCTGAATGCAGCGATCATGTCAAAGAATGATTCCCGTCCCTCTGGGAAGTCTGCAGAGTCCGTGGCCCTGTGCTCCGGCTCTGCGGGAGCAGAGTCCCCTTGTCTGCCTCATTCATTCACCGGAGGACTTGATACAAACCCTTCTCAACCTTCCTGTTCCACAGCAGAGATAATGTAGGCGAAATACACGGAATGGGAGTGGTTGGTTCTCTTCCTGTCCTGTATTGTATCTCTCTGTGAACCAATTGTGAAGAAGATGCAGGGACTTCTGAGTAAGGCAGAGGTGTTTGCACAGTTCCATCCCAGTGGTAAGGACTGTTGTTGATGTGATGGCACCTCCAGCTTCTCCAGTACGGCCCTTCCTTAGGTGGTTCACTCATGGGATTCAGACTTTTGATAATGTTTGAAAATGGTCATAGGTTTCTGCTGTCCTCATTTTGATGAGCAGTTTTTCTGTTATGCTCACAATGATAAAAAGAAAAAGAGCCTTCCATCATAATTTTTTATTTCCATAACAACTCACTGCCAGTTCTAATTCTAAGATTTTTGACAGGATTGCTGTGGATTTTTCATAGTCCATTATATTTAAGAAGAGGAAGTCTTGTTAACAAAAAATGGGATCTCCTCCACAATTATAGAATTAGAACCCTTAGGGGGGTGAACATCTAAGAGTCAGCTTAAATTGTATACAGCGCCATCTGTATGTAACAGAATGTTATGGGTTTCTTCTTTTGGTTCACATTTAAAGAGATTATTTTTTATCTTTCAGAAAAAACAAGGAGGGAAATGACAACCAAAGGTTCTACAGGCATGGAGGTTCTGTTGTCAACATTGGAGGTACGCCACCAACGGCCTTCAGTGCCCCAGCTATCACACACGCGCACACGCACACACGTACACACGCGCACACGCAGGCATGCAGAGTAGGAAGGATATTGAAGTGAACATACACATGTGAGTGCATTAGTATGTATTATGTAAACATATATTTCCCAGTGATTAAAATAACTAAAATTTAATCTTAGATATTTTAAACATGTTGTTATTGTTGTGTGTGTGTGTGTAGGAAGGCATGCCTGCTACGGCACATGTGGACACCACAGGACAGTTTGGTGGAGTTGGTTCCCCCCTCCCACCTTTATGTGGGCTCTGAGGGTCAGGGTCTCCAGGCTTATGCAGCAAGCACCTCTCCCTGCAGAGCCATCTGGCTGGCCCTAAATTAAAGTCTTTTTTCATAGTATTTTAGTTACACGTATGTGCCTGTGTGTGTGTGCACGTGAGCGCAGGTGCCGTGGAGGCTAGACGTGTTGGATCTCCTGGTGCTGGAGATGTAGGTGCTTGTGAGCTGCTAATGTGGGTGCTCAGCAGGTTAAAGGTGCTGCCCAGTCTGATGACCTCAGGATAAGTCCAAGGATCCACACGGTAGAGGAGAGAATGTGTCTGCAAGTGTCCCAGGAACTCCATGTACAGAAATAAGTAACTGTCAGAAAAATGATGAAGACATTGAAGTTTTAATAAAAGTATAGCAGGTTAAAACATTTGAAAAAAATAGTGTTTTAATAAAGCAAATCAACTGTTTGTTTCAGAACACGAAAGATCTTCAAACTATACTTAATATCCTAAGCATTCTTGTCGAGTTGGTATCTTCTGGTGAGTTTTGATTTACTTTGTATTTGTAAATAGTAACCAGCTTTGTGTCCTATGTACTTTATTTAATGTTTCTTGATATTAATATTTTAGAAATGAAATGTCATGTGCTTGTTGCTTCTTGTGTGAAGGAATATGTGTATGCTGGAAGAAGGCATTTGGTGGTGTTGTTTTTTTTTTTTTTTTTACTACTCACTCCCTACCTTATTACCTTGAGCAGGGTCTGAAGCTGGAACTTGGTTTTCAGCCTGGCTGCTAGCCAGCATGTCCCATTGACCTTCCTGTCTCTGCCCACAGTGCTGTGAGACCGCCCAGCTTATTACATGGGTGGCTGGGATTGCAAGCTCTGAACCACTGAGCCATCTCTCCAGGGCAACACTCTTATTTATTTATTTATTTATTTATTCATTCATTCATTCATTCATTCATTCATTCTTATTTTACACATTGATCCCAGTTCCCTCATTGCTTTATTTTCGATATCTTGAGATACTTCTCCAATTCTCCTTGCCTGCTTGTATAGCACCTTGAGCCTAGAGTCTTGGTCACATTTGTGCTGCATTTTAGATAAGTGAAACAAAATGAAATAGGAGCTGAGTATGGTGGCACATGCTTGCTGTTCCAGCATCTGCAAGCCTGGTGCAGGAAGATCACAAATGTTAAGGATGGTTTGGGCTGTATAGTGAGATCCTATAACCAAAACACAAAATATGATTTTGATAATATTGAGTTTTAGAAATCAGTGATTGGATTGAAACATTTCTTGAATGCTAATTGTGATGGCCACTGTGGGAAGATGTGCTGTTTGATATATATGCTGTTTGGTGTGTGTGTGTGTGTGTGTGTGTATATGTATGTATATGTATATATATATATATCATATATATATATAATTTATATTTACATTTATAATTTTAGGTGGAGGCCGAAGAGCAAGTTTCTTAGTTGCCAAAGGTGGTTCACAAATATTGTTACAACTGCTTATGAATGCCAGCAAGGAATCTCCACCACATGAGGAATTAATGGTGCAGACTCATTCCATTCTTGCAAAGATTGGACCAAAGGGTGAGAGTTCCATTTTTATGGTTACTGAATCTAGAACTGTTTTTGTCACTTTTAATCTTTATGTTTGGTTTTTGTTGTTGTTGTTGTTTGTTTTGTTTTTTTGTGATGGGGTTTCTCTGTGTTCCTCTGGCTGTCCTGGAACTTGCTTTGTAGACCAGACTGGCTTTGAACTCACAGAGATCCACCCGTCTCCCACTTTCCCGCTTAGGATTTGTCTGATATGTTTGCAAGTGCAGCCTGCCCTGTCTTACTCCCTGCCGCGTTATAGGGTGTGCTTCAGAAGTGCGAGGGACACCAGAAATGACACGGGTCTGAGTGTCATCTCGATCGTCTCACGTCAGTCCCACATGTCATGTGGGAGTACAGCACACACGTAACGTGCCACTGCTGGTTTGGCATTTCTGTTTGTTGCACCCAGGGCCTGGCAATTGTAGGCACATCCTCTGCCGATAAGTTCCATCCTTAGTCTTCACTGCTTCTCAGCTTGCTTTTGTTCAGAAGTTTAATGGAGCGAATTTGTTTTCAAACAGATAAAAAGTTTGGAGTGAAGGCCAGAGTTAATGGGGCGCTGAACGTAACCCTGAATTTGGTCAAGCAGCACTTTCAGAACTATCGCTTGGTTCTGCCTTGTCTTCAGCTCCTGCGAGTGTATTCTACCAACTGTGAGTACTTACGGGACGTGAAGTGACAGAGAACAGGGTTTAAAAACCATCTAAGGTCTATAAACCTCTAAAATGTGTGGGAAGTAAACATTAATATGGCTCAGAAGTAAACAGAAGTGATGTGGAGTAAGAAGGCGAGGTGACCAAATGTTGAGCATCTTACCAGTGCCTTTAATTTGAATAGGACTGGGTGAGGGAGAGCCTGTGGAAAAGGTTCCAGGAAGAGCATGGTGTATGGGCTGCTGGGAAATGCTTCTGTCTATGTGGCAGTCGTGATTGTCAGCGTGACAAATGTAGCTGTCCTGGGATGGAGGGTCTCAATAAGAGATAGTCTAGAGCTAGAGCCTGTGGTACTGAGGTGGAAAGGCCACCCTTTGCGAGCGGTTCTGCGTGGAGAAAGAGAGCAGTGCAAGCATGCGCGTGTCCAATGCTCCCTAGTCCTGACTAGGGTTCATGTGGCCAGCTGCTTCAGGCTCTTCTGCCTTGACCCCCTGCTACGGTGGGCTGTTGCCTGGATGTATGAGCTAAACAAAACCTTTTCCCCATAAGTTGCTTCTGTCAGGGTATTTTGATCCCCACAACAGAAAACAAAGGCAAGATACGGTGATGACAGATGGAAACTGGAGAAGGAAGGCATAGTCTTCTTACCCCTCCACAGGGAGGCAGCAGAGCGCACAAAGAGTGGCGTTGGACTCTCTGAGGGTTGGAGATGCTGGGTCTCAAACATTTCCTGTATGTTTCTGACTATGAGATCTCACTTAATGCACGAATCATGGAAAGATGGGCTCAGTCAGTGACATGCTTGTTGTGTGGCAGGAGGACCTAGACTGTGATCCCTCGAGTGCCCTGCCTGCAAGCCTAGCACAGGGGAGGAGGTGAGAACGGTTTTGTGGAGCTTGCTGGCTAGCCTGCTTTAGTGAGACTGAACTCCAGATATGATGAGAGACCCACCTCAAAAAAATGCAGACAAGCAGAAAAAGACACTTGATGTTGACCTCTGCCCTCCATATGAACACCATGTACACACATGTGCATATAAGTTAGAAATACATTATAGACCATTTGTATGCCATGAAAAAATACTGATGCAGTATAAAGTATGTGTGTATACGTATATGCTACAATAACTCTCCGCCAGCCTGGGTCCACTGTCTCATCAGCCCCAAATAAACATACAAAGACTTACATTAATTATGAAACTGTTGGCCAGTGACGAGGGCTTCTTATTGGCTAGCTCTGTCTTAATTACTAACTATTAATCTAAGTATTTCCACTTGGTCTTACTGGAGAAAGTCCAGGGACCTGTTACTCGGTGACTGCTCTTTGTCTGTACCTTCCAGGATCCTCCTCATCTCCTAGTCCCGCCTATCCTGCTGCCCTATTGGTCACAGTGTTTTATTCATCAACCAAGAAGATAAACATATTTACAGAATGACATCTCCCATCATTTATGTACATGTACATGCTAACAATTTAGGTGAAGGTATGCTCAGAAAAACAATGAACACTTATATGACTAAGAAGAACATAAGGAAAGGATTTGACATTTAATAAAAAAAAAATTAAGAACAGACATAAACAGTAAAATTGAAGAATGAGTTAGGAAAGGAAAAAAAGGAAAACATGATTTAGGCCCCAGTATTTGGGAGTCAGAGGCAGGTGAATCTTTGAGTTTGAGGCCAGCTTGGTCTACAGAACAAGTTCTAGGTCAGCCAGGGCTACACAGATAAACCAAACCCTGTATTGAAAAACCAACCAATCAACCAACCCACCAAACAAACAAACAAACAAAAACACTAAAACAAACAAAACATTAATTAGGAAAGAGAATAATTTGTTTGTAGCCAACCAAGAAAAGAAGATGGTAGAAGTGTGACAGTTAAAGGCAGAACAGAGCTGCATTCTTTAGTTAACCACTCGAAGGCTAACAAAATGCTTCATGTGGAGTGTGTGTGTGTGTGTGTGCATGTGCGTGCATGCGTGCGTGCGTTTGAGACATGGTCTCCCTATGTAGTCCTGCCTGTCCTAGAACTCACTATGTAGACCAGTCTAGTTTCAAACTCAGAGCTCCACCTGCCTGTTCCTGAGTGCTGGGACTAAAGACAGCCAACTATCATACCCAGTTTATGTGTAATTTCTCTAGAGTAACATTTCTTCAGAGTTTAAAATGCTGGGCACAGTCTTCTCGCTGCTGGTTCTCCATGGAATACCTGAACTGTCGTCTTTGTATACTTGAGGCTGCTTTAGTGAAGGTCTCAGGGTGCAGTTCCTGTTGCTCCGGGCTTAACTCAGAAGGCTCTTATCTGCCTTTTCTCGCCTTCACCATTTTCCCTAGAAGTCCCTCTGTCTCACTGTGCAGGGGGGATGCTCAGTGGGATAACCCGCTTCCGGCATCTGGATGATGGTGTGGTCATGGCTTCTAGTCCCTGCTGTTCTTGCCGTGCGCAGTTCTTAGAGCACATCGGTACTTGTCTCTTACTCTCCACGCTCACTTTCCTGGTGTCGTCTCATAATATCCCCTTTAGGAATGCTAGTTACTTCCAGCATTTCATAAAATAAAGCAACCAGCCACCCCCCAAAAGCCCTCACAGCAGACCTTCACAGTGTACTGGGTAGCTTGTATTCATAATATTGGCTAAATATTTTGGAATGTTTTTGGGTTTATCATTAAGGCTCACATCATTTTGTGTCTTCCTCTTGTTTCTCAGCTGTGAATGCAGTATCTTTAGGTAAAAATGGAGTTGTGGAGCTGATGTTTAAGATCATTGGACCATTCAGTAAGAAGAACTCAGGTCTTATGAGGTGAGTGAACGTTTTGATGTGTGTGGAAGATGTCATTAGTCACTCTGAGCACTGTTGCTTGGACATACCTAAGCAGTTGAAGTCAGTTGTATCTAGAGTCTCTATCCTAAGTAGTGATTCTTAGAATGGCGAAGATCTTATTAAACACTTAACCTTTAAGTGGGAAACTTGCAGTTTACTGAGGATGGTAATTTTAGACATGCCAACTTTGAATGCTTGTAGATACTGTGAGAGGAAATCAGCCATGTCTAGAGTAGCATTCACTGAGACCTTTGTTGAGTGCCTACTGTAGTCCTCACCCAACTTGCTAATCTTCTAAAGACTATTTATTCTCCTCAAGATTACCTGACATGTCTTAAAATTATACATTTCTATTTTGCCCAATCATATTGTTCTTTTTATCTTTTCTTCTCTTGGAACATGGATGAATGTATGAGTATATGTTATAGTTGTGTGTGTGTTTCTATTAATTTATAGATAGGTCATCTAACCTCAAAAGTGAAGCACTCTGTGTTAAGGGTTATATTGACGGGTTTTTAAAACTCACACAGCAAGGCTCATTATGTATTGTACCCCATGGCTTTCCTATGTCATCATTGTCTTGACGTTCATACTACTGTCTCAGAGCTATTTGCATGTTTTATTTTCTATGGTTATGATTATTTCTCCCAGGAAATCAATAGACTACTTCAGCATATACCTCTGTTAAATAAAGAAGGAAAAATAACATCACTGCTACAAAGATATCAGCAGGATAATGCCTTTAGAAAATAATCTTCATGTTCTTGGGTTGTTGTGGAGCCACAATTTTACATGGATTTGTTTAGATGAGAAATAAACAGGTTGCACATACTGTTCACCAGAATCCTAGGGAGTTTGCAACTTGTAGAGAAGTAGAGCAGCGTAGAGCAGCCTCATGGACACCCAGTCTCAGCTGCGGCCTGTGTTCTGCCATTGTTACTCCATCCTGCTCCTGTCCTATTGTATCTGCCATTGCAATTGATGTGTAAATTCTAGAGTTTGGTTCCTATCAGGCACAAACATTTCTGTGCCAGCAGTATTAACAGTGATTCTTAATTTTATTTCTTGTTTTCTGGCTGCTAAAGAAATACCTTCTTAATACTTGGCTTATTAGTATCAGTATTCGAATAAATTTTATTTGTTGTTTGTATCTCATAATAGTAGTATTATTACTTTTTGTTTGCTTTTTTTTTTTTTTCCCTCCCCGAGACAGGATTTCTCTGTGTAGCCCTGGCTGTCCTGGAACTTGCTTGGTTGGCCTTGAATACCGAGACCCTCCTACATCTGCCTCCAAAGTACTTGGATAAAGCATATGCCACCACCACCCAGCCATCATAGTTGTTTAAAAACAACAAACAGCCCATTGTTGTGTTGTGTTTATTGAAGGATCTGTGTGATGTTTAAGATAAGTCTAGTTCTGGATTTTAGGTGACTGTGGGTGTAGGGCTTGGCATACAGGTTTGCTCTTCTTACATGTACTTGCAGCTCACCTGCTTTACTGTTTTACATGGGTGTTTCAGAGGTGATGGTGGTGGCGCGTACTTGGGCATCATTTTGGTCACCGTGCTGAGGCGTCTGCCTGTCAGAGTATCACTTCCCCTGCTGTTCCTGACTTGGTGTTTTATTCTTCCCACCGCCTGCATCTGTTATTTAATTAGGGCTGGTAAAATAATGACTGCTGGCGAAAGACCGAGCTCACGGCTTCCTGATCGTCCAGAAGAGTTTGGTCCCTTACACCCGTGTCAGGCGGCTCACACCCATGCCATGTCCAGGGGCTCTGACCCCTCTCTGGTTGCCGTGCACATCTGCACACATGTAGCATACACTCACATAGATACACCACATGCATATGAAACAATTAAAAATATAGTGGCCGTTGGGGTTGCAGAGGTGGCTCAGCTTGAGGTTGAGAGTATGGTTTGCTCTTGAAGAGGTCGTGAGTTCTGTTCTAGCTCAGCCCTTCTGTAATTCCAGCTCCGGGGAGTCCAGTGCCCTCTTTTAGCCTCTGTGATCACCGCACTAAACTGCCCATCCCACCCTACGTACACACTTAAACATCATAAAGACAGATATTTAAAAACATGTCTTCTTAAAGGGTTAGCTATGAAATGTTTATAAGACGAACATGTCAACATGAAGTATTCGACTGAACTTTATTCTTTTAATGTTTTGTGTTATTATTTTTAATTATGCATATATGTGCATGCATGTGGGTATGTTTGGAGGCCAGAGGCAGGCATCACGTCCACATGGAGCTGGAGTTACAGGTAATTGTAAGTCACCAGATGTGGTTGCTAAGAAATAGACTCTGGTCCTCTGAAATACCAGTATGTACTCTTAACTGCTGACTCATCTCTCCAGTCTCTAAATCTTAGTTTGTTTTTCTTTTTATTTAATTTATTATTTTATATGCCAATCCCAGTTCCCTCTCCTTCCCTCCTTCCTCCCTCCCTCTCTCCCTCACTTTTACCTTCTCTGGCCTCTCACATGCACCCTAACCACCCTCCCTGGGCAGTCTAAGGGACCTCAGACGGTGGAGCCAGGATGTATCGCAGGTGCACAAAAGGACCTTGCGGACACATCCCCCATGGAGGGATAACTGCCTTAATCTAGAGACAGGAGAGAAGCCCTAGTCCCTACTTCACATGACCTGTCAGATCTTAGTTTTTTTTTTTTTAACAATGAGCGTGCAGAGAATTTGGACCTTTTCTTTTTGTTGTTTTCTTAACAACAGTCAAAAATAACTGAATGTGGTGGTAGGCGTCTGTTGTAACACACAGGAGACTTAAGGTGTGCATATTGCTAGTTGAAGGCTAGCCTGGGACATTGGGAGAGCCTCTCCCTAGTGAATAAATAAACAAACAGGTCAAAATATTTGAGGAGATTACTTGTTAGTTTAGTATTTGGTAGGGTGGCCCCACAGATTTACTCATGTAAACCTCATGTACAGTCCTAACTAACATAACTGGTTAAAATATAACATGGTGAGTGCAGTGCCGTGGGCTGTGGAGGCAGCTGAGCCACTCACGATCCCCCACAGTCCAGAGCAAGTTACATAACCCATCATTCTTGTGTTTTCTGGATGTAAGGATGTGTTTGTTGTCTTCACTATAAACTGCAGGGATTTAATGAGATGAGTCCTAGGGGCACAAATGTGTCTACGAACATAATATTTTATTAGTTTAGCAATGTGGGAACTTGGGTGTGGTTGAACTGGAGATGATACCAAAGGGTGTGATATATACACACAGCACTGTCTTTTTAATGTTTCTGGGGATTGAACTCATGGCTTTGTGTATACTAGGTAGGCGCTGCATTGTGAGCTGCATTCTAAAACCTGCTATTCATTTATATGTCATTTCTCCTTTAATATGTAAAGAAGCTCCTCATTTATCTTTAGTGTACTTTAGTGTGAGGGCCGTGATCTTCCTATGTAATATCTACATGATTCTGTGTGGTCCATGTAACCACATTTAATATAAAATGTTCATAGCAGAAACAGAACATTTCAGAATTTTATTTGAATTGACGTGGAGTCCGGTGGTGCTAGAGGGACTGCCCAGTCAGTCCTGGGTTCAGAGTACAGCACCACAAATAAACCGATGGAAAGTATTGTTATAATGGGACATATAGAATATTTTCAGACGCTTCCATTGTAGAACACTAGGCTTAAAACTTCTGAGAAAGGAATTTAGTTATCTAAATTATCCTTTTATTCCTATTGATATTTGTGTGTGTGTGTCTGTCTGTGTGTGTGTCTGTGTGTGTGTGTGCGCGTGCGTGTGTGTCTGTGAGTCTGTGTGTGTGTGTGCGTGTCTGTCTGTCTGTGAGTCTGTGTGTGTGTGCGCGCGCGTGTCTGTGTGTGTGTGTGTCTGTGTGTGTCTGTCTGTCTGTGTGTGTCTGTCTGTGTGTGTGCGTGTGTGTGTCTGTGTGTGTGTGTGTCTGTGTGTGTGTGTCTGTCTGTGTGTCTGTGTATCTGTGTGTGTGTCTGTCTGTGTGTGTGTGTGTGTGTGTGTGTGTGTCTGTCTGTCTGTGTGTGTGTGTCTGTCTGTGTGTGTGTGTGTGTCTGTCTGTGTGTGTATACGTGTGTTGCCATGGTATGCCGTGGTGTTCAGAAGACAGCTCTGCGGGTTGGCCCTTGCCTCCCGCCTGTGGCGGCACGGCCTTTCTCCTGATCTTGCCTCCTCACTGTCCTGTTGGCTGCCTTTGTGCGGTGGGAGAGCTGAGGTTAGGCTCACACTGCTGTGCTTTGACGTACTAAGGCCTCTCCCTAGCTCTCTGCTTGTATTTTATTTTCTTTAAAAGTGTTTTTTCATTTATTTATTTGCATATGTGTGCACACATGGTGTGTGTGTGTGTGTGTGTGTGTGTGTGTGTGTGTGTGTGTATTTTTCCATGGTGTTCATGTGTAGTTCAGGGAACAACTTATAGGAGGAATAAGCCTCTCTTTCCAAATGTGCGTCCTGGGATTTGAACTCAGGTGACTGGGCTTATCAGTAAGTGCCTTTACCTGCTAAGCCATCTGGCTGTATCTCTGCTTGTATGTTTTTAAACATTTTTTTTCATTTATTTTGCATACAGACCAGAGTTTTCCCTCTCTTCTCTCCTCCTGTTCCCTTCTACCCCCACCCTTCACCATCCACTCCTCTGTCTCAGTTCAGAAAGGGGCCGGCCTCCCATAGGAGTCAGCAAAGCATGGCACATGTAGTTGAGGCAAGATCAAGCTCAAGCTCCTCCCCAGCTGCATGGGTGGGCAAGGCAACCCAGCATGGGGAATAGGTTCCCAAAAGCCAGCTCAAGCTCCTGGGACAGGTCCTGATCCCACAGCTAGGAGCCCTACAAACAGACCAAGCTACACAACTGTCACACACATGCAGTCCCTTACTGTTGGTCCAGAGTTCATGAGCTCAGGTCAGCTGTCTCTGGATCCCCCACCCCCATCATGACCCTAACCCCTCTGGCTCGTACCATCCTTCTCT